CGGCAGATTCTCACAACGCGCGCGCCATTCCCTTCCCCCGCGAGCCCCGTAGTCACCTCGCCCAGCTTCGACGCCCGCGCGCAGGACCGCGACGCCTTCTTCGACGACGCCGAGGAGGACCTCACCATCGCCTGGGCGCAGAAGGGCTACGCGTCCGCGCTGTCCAGGACCGTCGAGATTTGGTCCTTCTTCCTCCGCATGGTTACCGCCGAGATGCGCAACCGCAAGATTTCAGACCCTGCTGAGCTGGCTTCCGCGCGAAGGAAGCAGGCCGTCAAGCTCAAAGAGGGGCTGCTTTCGCTCGGGCCTACATTTATTAAGCTCGGCCAGCTCCTGTCTACAAGGGTTGATATCGTCCCCAGGGAGTACATCGAGGAGCTGTCCGTGCTGCAGGACCGCGTCCCTGGGTTTTCGGGCACACGAGCTGTTGAGGTTATCGAGACCGAATTTGGCAGGCCAATAAGTGAAGTCTTTGACAGCTTCAATATGCGTCCGATTGCCGCCGCTAGTCTAGGGCAGGTGCATCGCGCTGTGCTTAATGGCGAAGATGTTGCTGTCAAGATTCAACGCGCGGGCCTAAAGGAGTTGTTTGATGTTGATTTGAAAAACTTGAAGGTCCTCGCGAGGATGCTAGATAAGTTTGATCCCAAGTCGGACGGTGCGTCGAGGAACTGGGTCCAGATTTATGATGAAAGCGCAAAGCTGCTGTACGAGGAGATTGATTACGTAATGGAGGGGAAGAATGCCGACCGCTTTCGCAATAATTTCAGGTCGACGCCGTGGGTGAAGGTCCCCGGCATTTATTGGGACTTGACTAGCACGAGGGTGCTTACCATGGAGTACGTACCAGGTATTAAGATCAACGATTATGAAGCGATCGAGAATGCTGGCCTGGACCGCAGCCGGCTGGCGAAGCGGAGTGCGGAGAGTTACTTGACCCAGCTCTTGCGACACGGCTACTTTCATACCGACCCACATTGCGGTAATCTTGCAGTTGATACCGTGGCCGGGGGAAGGCTTATTTATTATGATTTCGGCATGATGAGCACCTTTGAGCCCAACATTAAGAAGGGGCTTGTTGATGTCGTGTTTGGCATCTATGAAGGGAATGCCAAGGACATCTGTGATGCCATGGTCAACATGGGAGTACTGTCAGGATCTGCAGATCGGATAACAGTCGAGAAGGTGGGCAGATACTTCCTCGGGCTCTTCCGAGTCAATCTTGACCAGGAAAATCGGAGAAAGTCAAAGGAGGAGAAGCGCGCCGAAATGATCAAGCGACTTGATTCTATTGGAGAGGACTTACTCGCCGTCAGCGAGGACGAGTGCTTCAACTTCCCGCCGGTCTTCACGTTTGTCTTCCGGGCTTTCACAACCTTGGAAGGTATCGGGAAGGGGCTCGACCCCAAGTATGACCTTACAATCATTGCAGGACCATACTTGAAAGAGCTGATTGACCTGAAAGATGGCTCCGCTGCGATCACAGCTATGAAATCGTTCAAGAAAAAGGTTGGATGGAGGAACAAGGACATCTCGGCCTTGGTGACGCAGCCAAGAAAGACAGCATATATCGAAGAAACGATCAAGAGAATGGAGTCTGGCGATTTGCGGCTTCGCGTTCGAGTACTCGAGTCAGAACGGGCCTTCAAGAGGGTATCACTCATGCAGAGCAACATGGCACTGGGGCTTGTTGCTGCAACACTAACAAATATGGCGCTCGTGCTGACCACAGCAGCCGAGCGATTTGCAATCCAAGCACGGTTGCTTTGGTTGCTGGCTGCCATCGTGTCGGTACGTCTACTCATCGGTATGCTCAAGTATAGGTCACTTGATGCCCGGCTTCGCAAGTATGTGAAGGGTGAAAACTAGTCTGTCGGCATGAAAGGAAAAGATTTTTTTTGTTTCGCTTATTCCTGTTTCAAAGTTGTAGCGTGCTCTTCAGGCAAGACGGGGCACCCCATCTTGCAGAATAGTTTTGTAATAGTTTTACTGTGAAGTACCACACTCTGGTTTCGGTTTCTCAGCAGAAACGTACCGAATTCGATGTCTACAATGTCGAGCGAACGTTTATGCTGAAGAGAATTAAATTCTCATGGGATCCCTGCACCGAAAAATTTTCGGTGCAGGGATCCCATGATCAAACGCCAAACATTTGTAAATTGAGAATGGGAATTACCGAACCTGTCCCAATGGGAGCACTGCTTCATATACGGACAAAGGACTCGTCCTTCAAGTTTCCAAATACCCGCTATATACAGTACAATGCTGTCCTTAAAATTGGAACGTCAGTTTGGCATAATTTCTGTGACAAACTTGCCCTAAGTGTTCAAATCTCGCGGTTGCATTGCGATAGCGTTTTTGGGCGCAATGAAGGTTGACGAAGTCCATATATTATGAAGCGTGCGGTAGATTTTTGAGTGCCATAGAGCACGTAGCAAGGTAGCTACAGAGCTTCCAAGCGTCCTTTTAAAAATGCTTGGCAGAAGTACGTTACTTGTGAAGCACTCCCTGCACATAGTGCAGTAAAAGGCGATTTTTGAAGTGTGCATTTCACACTACAAAAATCGCTCTTTGCCCAACTGTGAATCGCTATGAGATATCTATTTTGCAGGCATTAGTGAGAAGGGAAGGATTGAGTCGGGGATCTTGTTTACACCGAAAAAGAGCTTGCAATATGATCGCTGATACAGTGTACGGAAACGCCAGGGACAAACAGACTTCACCAAACGATGAGGGCAAACAAAGCGAGACAGGCCGCCCGCTTTTTGTAGTGAATGTGACCAAGATTGCAGCAGCACCACTGCTAGACAACTTTCATTGCTCTTGAACAAAGCAGAAGAAAACGCAATGAAAATATTGTGGCATGATTCGCACTCTACTCTCTTCCTCCAGGTCGTTTTGGAGTTCCCAAAATTGGGCGATGGACCCTGCCATCTGCATCAAGTGTTATAGCCTTCACTTCCAGTACTGCTTTATCTGGTTCCAGAAGTCGCGCACTGATTACCGTGTTTCTCTGATGTACATGTAGAATCTCGTGTCTTGAGTACGATCTCGCTATCCATGGGCCTCAGAATCGCATCAACGCGTACTTTACTTCCGTGAATGCTTCCAGACTATGCACACCCCCTTCTCGTCCCAAGCCAGACTCTTTCATACCCCCAAACGGGGTAGCACAGTTACTCACATTTGTCTCATTCACACCAACCATCCCAAAGCTCAAGTCTTTAGAAGCACGCAGTGCTCGCCCGGCATCACTGGTGTAGACATATGAAGCAAGGCCTCCTTCTGTGTTGTCATTTGCTCGCCTTATTACTTCGCGCTCTTCGGTGAACATTAACACTCCAACCACTGGCCCAAAGGTTTCCTCCTTGGCAAGCAACATATCATCTGTGACACCTAACAGTAAAGTTGGTGGAAAGAACAAGCTTGCCTTTTCTTCGCCTTCGTCGGTGTCGTCGGACGCCTCAAGCTCTGAGCTGCTGCTGCTCTTCGTTTTGCTAGTTCCACCGAGCACCAAGGTTGCCCCACGCGCGACTGCGTCATCAACATGTGCAGTAACGCGTTCCACTGCTGCCTCAGAAATTAATGGCCCTATCTGTGCGCCATTCTCCAGACCATTCCCCATCACAAGACTTGCCATTCTTTCCGTTAGCTGGGTGCAAAAATCGTGGTAGATAGGACCGCGCTGCACGAAAACACGGTTTGCCGCAATGCAAGTTTGCCCCGCAACTCGAAATTTGTTTTTCATCAAGCCATCTACGGCAGCCTCCACATCAGCGTCGTCGTACACTATAAAAGGGGCATGGCCACCCAGCTCTAAGGACGTCTTCAAGAGTCGTTGTCCCGCTTTTGCAGCAAGCAACTTTCCGACACGAGTAGACCCAGTGAATGAGAGCATTCTGATGCATCTCTGCTGCAATACGAGATCAGAGACGGGACCTGCGCGCGTAGTCGCTAGAACGTTGAACAGACCCCGCGGGGCACCGGCACGTGAGGCTAGCTCAGCGAGAGCAAGTGCGGTCAGTGGGGTGAGGTCTGATGGCTTCGCAACGACGGCACAACCAGCTGCAAGCGCTGGAGCAACCTTGCGGACGATCATAGCCGCTGGGAAATTCCAAGGCGTGATAACCAGACATACTCCTATCGGTTGATGGGTTGTAGAGGCATATAGATCTTCTTCGTGTTGCACTGCTAGTGAGCCGCGTCCTTGCGTAGCCGCAAGAACGTTCCAGTCGATGAAAGAAGCAGCGTAGTCAACTTCAACACGTGCCTCTGACAGAGGCTTTCCATTCTCGAGAGTGATCAAGTGGGCAAGGTCTTCGCGATTCTCCATGACAAGGGTATGCCACCGACGAAGGAAGGCGGAGCGATTCTTAAGCGAGGAGAGGCGCCAGAGCTGAAACGCCGTTTCTGCACTGGTAGCCGCTCTCTTGACGTCATGATCAGAGATGTCGACAACCCGGCGCACGATCCCCCCGTTTGCCGGGTTTGTCACAATCAGGTCGACATCAGAGGACCGACTGCGACTGAAGGAGCCGTCAATGAAAGAGCCAGCTCCGAGCAAATTGGAATCATTCAGCTGCAACCCTTTCCAGCACACTGGCGGCCGCTCGAGCATGCATTGTTGAGTGAGTACAAAAAAACCTTCGCGATGCACAATTGCTTTCCTGACAGTAGGCAGAACGAGCTTACTCCTTGATATTGCTTGGTGAAGTGCGACAGAAAACGTGAACAGCCGATTCGTACGCTCGGAACGGAACGGGTCCGCAGCTGAGTGATTAACTCTGACGAGAACATGTTCTCAAAACAGTGCTTAGCGTTGTTGTCGTAGATGTCGGGACAAGCTTAGCCCACTACTACTAGCTAGAACATACGGTCATGTTCAGGTTTACCAAATCCAACACGTGGCATACTTGTGGACATTGAGCAGGTGTCAAATTTTTGACTGTTCCAACTGTACTCCCCTGTTAGAGAAAACGGGCAATCCTTGTACAGTACCCTTGGTACAGTAGCACTTCCTGTCGTAAACATTTTCTGCAGCATTTCGAACCTCGGCTATACAAATGGATGTGAATTTCAATGAGTCGACGATCCAGAGCAAGGTGACAGGGAAGGGTCAATGTCTGGATGATGAGACTAAAAAGATTAAAGGGGAAAGCAAGGATTACAACAACTATTTTTTACGGTGTGGCTCTCAAGCAAGGCGGCACCTGACAGGACATTGACAGCACATTCCGGCTTTAATTTTGCGTAAGAATTGGGTTGGGCGAGAGAAATAAAACGGGAAGGATGAAGAAAGAAGAGAGGAGGTGGGTGGGGAGAACACAAAAGTTAGATCAGCTGCGAAGTTCGCTTGCTATCCCAGATGGGTGCCTCGCGGGAATTGGAATCGGTGCCTCCATGGCTTGCAGTGCCAATTGACCCAGCATAGACTGTCCACTGTACCATGGGCGCCCTTCCCTCAAAAATGGAATCTGCGAGATGATGTGTCGAAAGGAACAGTATTAAACCTATGCATTTATTTCCCTTCTTCATTGGGTAAGTACTGATGCAATTTTATGCGACTAGCATATTACAATGGAGTGCAGATATCGAATATCTATCCTACGCGTGAGCATCGCTCACCGCTTGATTAGGCACTTGGGTTGCCGTTAGAAAGTGTTTCATGGACGTTTTATGTGTGTTCCACTTTCGATCAGCTAAGAACGATTCCTCAACGTCTCATGAATGATACGCATCTCGCAGATAAGGGTCTGACCCTAACCTCTCATCTTTTTCAAGGTTTAAAAGATTGAGAAATACATTCGTGTTCTCATCAAACAGTCACACAGCGAAACAACAATGGCATTCATACTTTCTACTGCCCTTCGCGCTACCATCCCCAATCTCTCAAAAGCTATTGCTTTCAGTCGTTTATTCGAGTTATAAGCTACAAGAGACACATGAAATTTGCCTCTGATGAACGGAAATGTGATATCTGTCTGAGGGTTTGCACAAGCCTTCGCGTTTATTCACTCTCCATTGTTTGCACCGGGTGGTTGCTACAGTACTTGGGCCCCCGCCCTACCTTTGGCTACTCTCATGGGGGTTGTGTTTCTGTCTCCTTGAACGTAAGCGAATAATCATATTTTCCCTCCGGCACGCTCTCGTCTTGATGCATATAGTCCAAACAATTGCCTGGCTTCTTAGTCCAGCGTTCGAAAACCGCTTCTTTTATGTAACCATCTTGGCGAAGCATGACTGCTCGTTTTCTCAGTTTGCATTTCGCGCATGGTAACGGTTTGTAGTTGTCTTTGGCCCGCTTTTCAGCCTTCTGAAATCTCCAATCACGCTCTACGTCCTCTAAAGTGGGCAATGGTGGTAGCGGCTTGCGCGGCGGTGTGACAGGAAGAGATATTTGAGGGCGAACGCGTTTAGACGGCAGATGTAATGGTGCTTTTTGAGTATCCTGTCCCTGGCCTTTTGATTTCAGAGAAGCTGAAAGCCCCTCAGCTGATAAGGGATGTTCAGCTGCCTTGATAACGTACTCTTCATCGGCTTCAGAGTCCTCACAGGGAGAAGAGAATGCTGCTGGTTCAATGACCTCCTCGTCTGTGGATGTACGCATCCTCTTTGAAGGAGCGGCATTCAAAAAGTTTTCTTCCACCTCATTTTCTTTTCTCTTCCATTTAAAAAGAGCATCTACTTGCAGGGTTTTCTGCTGGGATTCGAATTTCGTTTGTGGAGCTTGCGCTTCCCGTCTCTTCAGTGCGTTGACCTCCAGTTGCAATGCTATTGAGACGTTCTCGGCGGCTTCCAATTTCTCCGCAAGACGCGAAATACGCGTTTCGGCAAGCCTTCTCCATTCTCTTTCTCTCTTGATTGCATCTTCTAACGAGGCATTGACACTCTCCTGCAGCTGAAGCACGTCTGCCGCCGCGGAGACAAGCCGCACCGACAATGGGCGTGGAGGGTGCAGATGTGCGATGGCTGCGAGCATGTCTGCGGCCACATTGCGGAGCTTCTCTCTCCAATTCTGATTAGCCATCACGGTAGAAAGAGGGGACCTTGAGAGAGACACTGGAGATGTCAGGGTCGGAGTGAGGCTAGTGGACGGGTCATGCGAGGAATGGAGGCCGTTGGTTTTGGCGCGAGCATGCTGCTACTCATGCCCTAAATAATTTCGGGAAATATAGGAAAAGGAGGGGAGGCGCCGCAGTTGGCGCGAGAAGCGTTCAGTGGACGCTTTCTGTGTACAGAGCAGGAGCATCTCCGAGTGCCCGTTCGCCGCCATGGAAAGTGTCATATATGCGGTCAGGGCGGAACTGTTTCCTGGCAAAAGTCCGAATAGAGTTTATGCCGACCCTTTGCGCAAACTGGGTAGTGAGGCTTTTTTCTGCATATCAGCGACATGCTTCGGGTGTGGAAGAATTCCGCTCTTTGTGGTGCTTCCAGCCAGGTTTTCTAACACGGCCGGGTGAGAACTTGGGTATCAGGTTTACCTGACATGCACACGATGCGATTCAACGTGCAGGCCGAGGGTCCCACATGCAACGACATTAACGAAGATAAATTGGGGTTTAATTGTAAGATTCCATAATTGCTGCAAAGGCAGTTTTCGAGGCTGTAGAACTTGTTTGGCTCAACAATACTACACATATCCTTCCACTGAGATTTTCTACGGTACTCGTAAGAGAAAACATGCATGACAAGGATCAACGGTTGAGAGCACTCAGTCTTTGGAACAAGCCCGTCATGAAGACGTACCAGTCTCCTTTTTCTTATTTTCAGCCATACGCTTTGCTTGCCGTTGAAAATAACGCTGGCGATAGGCATCTATCGCGTTCTCGTCATTGCGGCGGAGACCTCTCTTCGGTTTCGGGCCGCTCACTTTCTCAGTAGTTGTTTTCGTAATCTTTTCCTCATCAGAACTTGGTGAGCCTCGTTTTGGCGTTGACAATTGACTGTTCGAAGGCACCTTGGTATCACGTACTTCAATGATACTTGACCCATCAGCATCTACATGTGTTTGCGAATCGCGAATTGCTTGCACTGCTGATGACCCCAGCGTTTCGTGGATGTCCCGTTGTTCTGCATCCACGGGGTTCTCCTTTAAACCACCCCGCGCTCCTGTCCAGAAGTCTCGGCCGCTTCGAATTTGCAAAGCGAACTTCTGAACATTTCTATGCCCATCTTTCAGCCGTTCCTCCTCTTCAATGTCCACCCGATCGTTCTCGGCTCGCTCTTCCAGCTGCCTTTTGTAGGATTTTGTAACAAATCTTTCTTTGTCTTCATAAAGAAGATCTTCTTCCTCCCTTTCCTTTACAAGTCGTCTTTCTTGCACGCGTTGCAGTTCATCCTTCCGTTTTTCTACTTGCTCTACAAGCTTCCCAATGTATCTGCTTTTCCGTTCACGTTTGGGAGCCGCTCGTTGCTCTTGTTCTACAGCATCTAGAGCCTCGTCGTACGCAAAGGCTTCCGCATCTTCCGGTGCCGCTCGAGCACGGGAAATGCGACTTCGGCGGGGTAGACGTTGCCGCTGCGCCGCGGCAGCAGCCGATACAGCGTTGAATGGCGTGCGAGATTCTTCTCCGTCCTCGGAAGACGACGATGAGTTAGAAGTGAACATCCTGTGCACGCAGCGCGTTGCGGGTTCTCGGGGAGTATGGAGGAAATCTTCAATTGAACGGACGCTGCTCTCCAAATAAACTGGGATAGAAAGGCTTGATTCACTTTTCCATCACGTACTATAGCTATCGCCTGTCTTGCATACAAGCATTCAGGTCCCCTCTTTTGTGAGATACCGTGTGGGGAGGCCGAGGAGTTCATCACCCGCCGGGACAAGCAGATATTCTGCGAGAAGAAAGAGAACATGTGTGATGGTACAGTATTCCCTGTTGGCTACGTATTGGGACGTTGGGACGTGTACAGGTACTGTACGCTCAGGAGGGTACTGTGCTGGTAGATTTATTCATTTATATATTATAAGAGGGCTGTACAGTGCTGTCCAGGGACACGCCGAAGTGCTCTGCAAGGGATTTGTTAGATCTACCATGGCATCTCAGCCCGCCCATGACACTTCTGTTGAATAGCGTTCGTCTTCGATGCCCTTGACGTCATTTCTACCCAAGAGCTTCCATGTGCTTTCGGTTCGATAGCTTCGAGAGTCATTCATATATCTGCATTTTAGCCTGAGAAACTCAACTAGGCGTTGAACATACCCCAGCTGCCCGTGATTTTTCGCGATGGACATCATATTTGAGCAATCATCCCCTGTGCTCCGAGATTTTCGACACCCTCTCGGCCCACCTTCACTGCAAAAATGCAGAGATACAGGCTCCAATGTCCCCGCTGTCGTTCAAATACAGAATCCTGCTGCACCTGGAGAAATCGACGTCCCAGAAACATCCGTTTGCAGGAAATTGAAATGGGAAACCGTCCCCAGTATATTCACCTCCCTGTCAATCATGGGCGATTATATGGGGCAGCAACGTGCGTGGGGTGATACTGATGATATGGATGTGGACTGTGATGGATGGGTTGGAAACGTGGACGAGATGTCTGAAGACCATGGCGACGAAAGTATTTGCATTGAAGACAACAAACTGAACCGGCTCTTGCTGCATCACGCTTTCATGGGATTTACTTTCGAATCAGCACCACTCGCGATGCGCACAATATTGCGCGCTTCCCCGTTAGTGAAAGAGCAAACTGAAATGGAAATGAGCAATCTTCCCCTTGACACTGAGGATGCTGCGCGGCGCTTCAAGCATCGGATGCTTGTTTTTAACATCCACATGCTATCGACTCTTCTGACAGCCCCGTCAGGATGGGCCTTCACTATTGCCCTCGAATCGAGTTCGTGCGTTGGGGTGAATGGTCTTCAGGCTCGATTATGTGTCTATGGCCCACGTGCTAGCCACCTCTCTTTCCATTTGATTGGTGTAGAAAATGCTCCCAGTGATATCCAGAGGCTGCACGAGCTCCTGTTAGCAATATCTCCGACCTTCCATCTTAAACTTCTCGGGTTAGTCACAGATTTGGATGACAAAGGGCAAGTTACGAAGGCTCAGAAAATGGTATCCGCTACAGCATGCCATTTTGCTAGGCTCGTGCCAGCGAGGAGGCCTTTCTATTCTTCAGCTCTCGCCAATCATCGGAAACGGCCTCCACTTTTGCCTGCGGAGCTTGTGGCTGCTTCTGCGGAAGAGGTTAAGGAACTCGTGCATGAGTACCGCAACATGTTGGAAGCTTCTTGGAATTCAGAAGACATAGCAACAATTGAAAGACAACACGAATTGCTCAGGAGGGAACCAAAAGAGAATTTTGTACAAGTCGGACTTGTTTCAGACCCACCTATCAACCAGGGTATGGACCGAGGCAGGGATCATAAACTCCATAATTTCAATCAGGCATGGCAAAAACTTGGTCCCCGCTTCGGCAAACTTCGTGACTTCACCGGATGCCTCGCTACCGCCTATATGTATGCTCCAAAGCCAAGGGGTCCAGTAAAGATCGCGAAAATCGAGTCTAGGCCCAGCGTTTGGGGCCCAAAGGATAACCAGGAGGATGCGGATGTGGATGCTAGGAATGTTGTTCTGCAAGCATGTCAGTTCGAAGAGCTGCGATCCTACTTAGGTGGTTAGTGCTAGTCGTGTGCCCGTTTAGGCCGGCATCTCTTGACCTTTATGCTGGCCCCGCGATGTATTTCAGGATTGGACTTCATGCAGAACGCACATGACATGTACAGTGTAGCAGCATTCACCGGTGGTCCACCCCCATGTGCGTCATGGGATCTCGGCGACCAAGTCGGAACCTGTCGAAAAATATTGTTTGTCTAAGCAGTAGCGCTAGAATTGTAGAGGGCCGGGCTTACTATGTCGTGATTTTGCTCGCCCTTCTCGGACGGTTCCCAAACAGGCATTACTCGTCGCTTCGACGAGAGGATAGGATGCCTCGGAAAGCGTCACCCTCTGTCTGAATCGAGTCACCGGATTTGCCTACTCTTTATAAATACAATTGTTCTACAGTTGCGATACAATGCACACATTTTTGAAAATGCTGCGATACTCTAATACATACAAGTACATGCGAGTGGGAGTCCGATTCAATGGGTCAGTTCCCATACTCAGATAATACAGCCCGCTTCGCTTGTTGAATCTCGTCTTCTTGTGCATATACTCCCGGAAATGTATCTGGTTGTCCATACACCATGACCGTGCTTTCCAATGACCCGATGGCAAGCATATTGGAATCTGGTTGAAAGCTGAGGCATGTAACAGGGGGCACAAGAGGATCATCACCAGTGAGATCATGCCCAGAATCTCGGTCATGAGCAGACATCATCTTTAGCATAGCCCGGTTTGGGCCAAAGATCTTTACACACCTAGCAGTTGACCCGGACGCAATGAGGGTTCCTGCAGGGTGAACGGACATGCACGTAAGGTTGTTTCTGTGCGCTTTGATGTGGCTCAAACTAGGTGGGGTTTCCATTGCTAGTGGAGCAGGACTGTTCCTTGACAGCCGCGAGTCCCAAAACGCAATTTCCCCTCCTATGTCTGCAGAGACTACAGTCTCACAGGGAGAGCCACTGAAAGGTGAGTACGTGCCAAGAGAAATGATGGGGTGCTTTTGTTCACCGAAATGCGTTAGCTGGACGGGGGGTCCCGCAAAAGCAGGCCCGCTCCGTATGTCGATAATGCTTATAGTCCCGTCTGATGAACCCGTGACAAACACTTTCGGATTAATTCTACCCCACATCGTCACTGCGGTGGGCCACGTTCCGGTTGCTACACCTGCACCTTCCCAGATACAATACTCCCTCGCAAGATCCCAAACACGGACAGCTTCCCCATCACAACCTCCAGCTACCAGGTAGGAGGATTCGGAATCAAAAGCGAGAACAAGCCCGTTGCCTGAGTCTTTCACGGTTTTCGCAAAAGTCATGTCATAGGAGTCTAGCGATTCCATACTGTCCGATGAGTGATACGTTCCTCCCATAACGTCATGTCGTTTCGGTTTTTTTTCGGGCTCCCTTATAGTTCCAACTTTGCTCCAGTATGATTGTCCTGAGCTCTGGAACGTACTCATGACTCGATATTTTGGCCCATGAGGTTCAGATTTGAAAATCGCCACCCGTCCATCATATGCACCGGCCAGAATGAGAGCAGAGCGACTGTTGCCGAAAGAAGGATAACTATCCATAGCAGCAGGGGATGGGCGATTCAAACACAGGACAGCACTGACTCCTACGGGGGGAATTCCGGGTGGATGAGGGACTGCCATTTTCGCATGAAGCCTTCCATTTTGTATGTCGTAGATACCGACGAACCCCTGGTTATCCCCACTCGCAATCAATTGTTCCTCCCCTATTCCAACATCTCGTGGCAAGAACGCGATTGAAGTTACTGCACCACCACTGATAGTCATGACATGTGAAGATATTTCTTGAAACTGATAACCCTGACCATTTCCGTTCTCTTGACCGCAGCTACCACCCCCCATCCCGTTTTGCCCTTCGCCAAGTAATGCGAATGCACGGAGTCCTTCAGAGGGGATATTACCGCTTGACTTGAGGAATTTGTCCCACAAAGCAGCATATCGCGGTACACTTTCCTTCTGTTGCGAGTTGTCAATCTGCGTGGCGTCAAATTCAAGTCGAGCAACTGACGCACTGCTCCATTCAAGAAGCGACAGGGCCGCGTCTCCACCTTGTGATAAATATAATCGATCGTAGCCTTCAGGAATCTTCACTAACTTTGGCAAGCTCTCACTTGAACCTTCGTGAGTGGCGGATGCAAAGAAGGAGGGCCTGCCAGATGCTGCAATGGGAATTTCCGTACTTGAATTCAAGGCAGTTTCCGCATTTAGAACTTGGTAGGAAATGCTACGTCTTGGCACCCCGGGCGGAGAATGTGAGCTTGACGATGTGCCCTTGCCGTCTTCTTTACCACCTGTAGAACTGGCGTTGCTTCCGAAAGAATGCGGCAGGTTTGATGTGGGTTCTCCTCCGGGCCGTTGTATTGGTTCAGTGAACTGCCTAAAAAACCTCCCCACGGCTATAGCGATATGAGGAACGGATGTAGGAAGAGACCGCGGTCTTTCTTCAGTTTCACTAGTACCCCGTTCAAACCTACTCGAAGCAAAATCTTGGGTGGAAGCAACTGTTGGGAGCCTTCGCCGGAGTGAAGTAGGGGGAATGAGGCTTGCGCTATTGACTCGGGGCATGGCCGTCATTAGCGGGAGGCGACTTGACGCATTCAAATCGAAACTGCCGCTCGTGCTGCGCACATGAACACTCCCCCCCTGAACATCAAAAGGACGTTGTGGGAACGATCGTCTCATACCTCGGGGACACGCTCGAATGGAGGGGCTTTGAGATATCCTGCCCTGAGAGCCCCCTACCAGAGGCGGTGTGCTCCCTTCCTTAAAAGTACCATTGACTAATGGAATCCGTGATTCCTGTCCTGTGTTGGATTCGCCTTGCAATCCAATTCTTGGGCTTGCGCTGGATGAGCGCGCAGATGACGAACCTCCCGGACATTCTCCAACGGCAGCAGAAGGTGTCCGTTCAATGCCAGATCTCCCACCTTGTAAAGATGACGCGGAAGTCAAGAAGTTGCTATTCCGACAAGAAGAAGGGGAAAAAATGTGATCTGCCCCTAGAATATCGTCTTGTGATTGGCTTGAACTATCCGTCCTGCGCAATGGCCCTGCTCGTTCGAGCAAAAGTTCGGATATCAAATCATAGCTCCGGCGCGCTAGTGCTGCTACAATCGGATGAGGGTCATTCGCCAACTCCGATAAAGTCATCCACAATTGTCGATACACTGCTGAACACCTCTGTTCATCGTCGGAACGGAATTCTTCCCAGGCTTCATTCGTACCTAGAACATCTGTGACGTATGCAGCACAGAGAAACCGGTCAATCTGCGAGCGGACTGCCTGAGCAATTGCGGTAGAGACTTCTCTTCGCACAACCACGCACGAATCTCTTCTCGCAATATCTGCTATTTTTCTTCCAAGCAAGAGAAGGGCATTTCGTTCACAAGCGGTGTACGGCGGTACAGGGGCACTCAGAAATTCTGTTTGAACTAACGGTGTGTGTATAGTATTTTCCATGACAACTTCAGCTGCCGTCTTAGTTCGCGAACCATTCCTCCTTCCCTCGACTCCTATTAGGGGCAAATCAACAGCGGGTGTAGAATTACTCATATGGATGGGTGTCATGTCCGTTTTCACTGGGTTCAGGAAATAATCAGTCTTCGAGCCTTGCGACGAAGCCCCCCTATCGTCAAAATAGTATGGAGAATTATGTCGCAGTATCTGCCCCATCAGTGTAGACAATAATTCAGTGGCAGACGCCCGCACGTCTGGGGATGCGTCGTTCATAGCGCATTGCTCTACAGGTTCCAGTAACGCGTCTCTGCTTAAGAACTGAGATTGCATTTGATAAGGAGCGACACGAATCACAGTCATTATGCTTAGGCATGCCCATCGTCGCACGGTACTATTTGAGTGGCGTAAATACGGAATGCATGCATCCGTTGATTGAAGAAACCGACACCGATTGGGATCTTTTCTTGCAATGACAGACAAAACAAACATAGCCACGGCTAGATAGACAGGCTTGGGCTCTTGTTGTGACTCATCGACCTTTAGAAAGTCCATAAAGAAAGAATCACCTTCGATTTCAATAAGATCCTCAGTGCAAGAGTGGTCCAGTGCCAAAATCTTGCTCCATATAAAGACCAGCTCTTGTCTCTGATGCTTGGTGCGACTTTCCGTCAGTCTGATTATGTAGGGGAATATACCGACAGATAGAAAATAATCTACGGCCATGGGTCCGGTTTGCACATATCTTGAAAGGAGCGGCAAGGCTATCTCTCTCAATTCGTCACTCAACAAGACTTGAAGCATGATCGGGAGTTGTTCTGGTGGGCCGCGGTGCTCCGGGCCCATATCAAGCCAGACGTCGAAGGCTTTTAACTGGTCCGCAAAGAACGTGGATGGTTGGTATGAACCGCGATAGGATGAATGCATGGACTCTAAGGACCCGGAACTTCCCATATCGTTGACGAAAGGAGTACCTAGTGGTCTATGAAGGTTTCCGTGGGGAGAAGATCGGTGACGGTTGTGGCGATGACGTTGGTGATGATGATGACGGTGATGATGGGGGGATGATAACATCGCTGCCGAAGACCTGCCACTTGGACGGCCAGGACGTGAGGGAGGCAGGCCATTGGCATGGGGAGTGGTACCACTTGGTTGGGCATGTGTGGTTGCGGTGGAGTGCTGTGACGTAGAGAAGGCAGCGGCTTCCTTTGCTTCTTCCTCAGCAATGAGCCGGGGAAGCTGAGAAAACAGCTTCTCAACGGCAACATCAAACGCCTTCCACAGGTTGTGGTCAAACGCCTCTGGAATTTTCGGAGAAGACACCGTGTGGCATCCAAAGGACCGCATGACACGTTCTGCAAGTAAATAATGGCGTAGTAAGCTGGAAAGGAACATATCCTGTCGATAGAGTCTTAAAAACTCCTCTCGCGGGAGAAGATTCCAAGCGATAGCATCGGTGACAGACAAAAATATCCAATTTAACTCGCCGAGTGGGCTACTCCGATCCGATAGCGACCCTGGGATACGGTCGACCATGTCATCAGTGATACCCGCGACAAGGGTTTGCCGAACAAACCAATGCAGTATGGTTTTGATGGGGGTAGTGAGGCAGCTAGTAAAGAGATCTGCGGGCAATTGCGGAGTAAGCGGAAGACGCTCACCATCACTGCAAGCAGCAAGCATAATGTCACTTTGATGGCTCAAGAACGGCGGTGAGTGCCGCGAAGCACTGCGATTGTCATCTCGATACTGTTTGTACTGATCAACAATACGTTCAGCAGAGTTGCAGTCGAAAACGAGAATGGCCGGACTGCCTAGATGCTTGAACAACGTATCAAGTGGAAAAGGGATGTACTGAGTGAAGTTGTTGTTAAATACCCAGAGCTCGCCCTGGCTAGTGGGATCCGGGACGCCATGCCCGTTATAATGAAACAAGACGCGATCATCCTTTGCCTGTTTTCTCAATGTACCGCAAGCCGAGCGCACATCCTTCGCGACGGGATCGTCTGCGAGCTTGAACTTTTTGTGATGCGGTTGCCATTGCGCATATTGTTTCTTGAGCTGCGTGATGACAGTCTTCACCGCCGTGCCATTCTGATTGTGCGCCGTTGGGTCGATCCAGCACTCGAGCTTGGCTGAAGGAGTGGGCCTGCGGGCGCCCGGTGGGTCGACGCCGACGTTGAGACAGACCATAAGCACAAAGTGGGTAGTGTACATGGGGTTTTTCAACCGCCATGGGTTGAGCTGTTGACTGAGTTCATCTTGCTCAAGTTCCGCCCGTTTCGCGGCGGATGCAGCAGCGGCAGCTTCCGCTTGTGCATGCTCTTGTTTGGCTACCTCTGCAGCATCCTCTTCTGCAAGAACAAGAACATGTTGTATTGGAGAGTTGTAGAGTGAGCCGCGCTGTGACGGCATGTCGCAAGTGGGAAGGGGAGGTAGGAGAGCGGAACGAGGCGCAAGGCGGAGGTCTCTCGAGTAGTGAAGCTGAGTGTGACAGAAATTATGCAATTGTGGAGAGCAAGTTCCGGGGCTCAAAGAGAGGTCGTATGTGTGGAGATAGCACCACACCATTGCGAGGATGCGCTGGAACAAACACCGGAATACTGTAGCTGCGAGCAGAGTCGGTTGCAGAAAAGAGCTGCAAAAATTCGAATGAAACAGGTTTTGTGGACAACTGTCCGGAAGCGAGGAAGTCTACCCCACGTCGCTACCCCGTGCCTCTGCCCGTGCCTCTCACCCCGTGCCTCTCAGGAGAACTGCGAAAGACATGTCTTTTGACTTGAGATTTCAGATGCCGCATCTAACTTTCCGTACGGCACAGCCGGTCATCGCACAGCCATTGACCGCCCCTCTCATGCTTCCCACAACGATAAGCAGGCGAAGCTTGCTTGCTCCGGACAACCACAGCTCGTGCTAATACGCTGTCCCTTTCCGATACACCCGCCCCCACTTCTCCATTCCACACCACCCGTCCATACCACGTGTTTGCGCCCACACGCTAACGCACCGGTCCGCTCTGCCTATTCTTGTGCCCACCACATCTTTCCGTCCGTCTTCTATTTTTTTTTTCTCTCTGCCCGTGAAGGATGACGCCAGCAAGGCCCCCCAGATGAAACCCTGCACCATCCGTGTTCATTACCATTTCCGTCTATACACCAAATTTACACGTGAACCTTCGATCTACCTTTCTATCCTCTACATATGCGCAACACCGACTATTGCTACTACATAAATCTACCCTTTCTCAACATCTCTCATTCTCATCTTGAGTGGTGCCCCAAGCTCCGAAACGATCTGCAAAAATTCTTCCGGCTTTTCAATCTGCGGGCAGTGATCGGCGCCCTTCACCACGTCGATCTGTACTCTAAACCCTTTTCTTTTCATTTCTCTATACAGCTCATGCACGCTTTCGACGGGCATGCTCGAGTCTGTCTCCCCAACAATAATCCTCACAGGGATATCGAACCTGTCTAGATGCTCAACCAACGGTCGCACACACTCGGCCTTGCCACCCCAACGCAGTCTGATAATCGGCCTGACGGCCTCTTCCCCGGACGCAGGTCCCTGCGCAGCCAGATGGTATGTGTACTCTCTGAGTCGGTCTGCAATGTACGACTCACTCCTTGGGTAAACCATAAAGAAGAACGCGAAACCCATCAAGCCACCGCGTCTCACAATGGCCTGCGGCGGGAGCGAGAAGTACACAGCCCTTTTCAACGACACCTCCCTCGTCGACGCCGCGGGAGACACCAACACCAAATCCGTCACGCGGGCGATGTTTCTCTTTGTGTATTCCATAGCCAAGTAGGCCCCCAACGAATGCCCCACCAGCACAAACTTGTCCAAGCCCATCGTCTGGAGAGCACCCGCCAAGGACGGCACGTACCATTCGACGACATCATCCGCTGTCTTCCCTCGAAAAGCTGGGCGCTGCGAACGACCCCACCCGAGCAAGTCGACGGCAATGACGCGGTACCCCAAAGCCACCAAGTCGTCGACGTTGCGGGCCCAGAAGGCGGCTGACATGGAGTGCCCATGCACTAGGACGATTGGCGGGGCGCGCTCGTCACGCCCGGGAAACTCCAAGACATGCAGATAGTTTCCGCAGGCATCGGGCACCCAGCGGTGCAGACATCGTGCGCGCACTCGACTGAGCACACGGGCCTCCGAGCGAGCGAGGATATGGCGATGGGTCGGGCGAAGCAGTCTAAGCAGCACTCGTTGGGCCTCGAGAAAGAGGGTAGCGTGGGTGACGACGCGCAGAATGGAGAGAGAAAGTCTTACCAGCGGGAACATGAGACGGGTCGCGACCACCTATTCTACGGCTCGCGGCGGAGTGGCGGGTGGAGAAGGCGGGGGAGCGGGAGAAGGGGAGAGGGGGGTGAGACATGTATATCCTTTTTACGAGTTGGCGAAGAGTTTGCTTTTCAGATATGTCGCATGGTGATTGCAAAGTCGAAGTGACTTTGCAATCACCATGCGACATATCTGTATATATATATTCATTATATATATATGATATATTGGGTGATTTTCGGTGAACAGTTTTTTATTCGGCCAATGCTAAGACGTACGATTGCAGAATCGTAGCCAATCGCTGCAGCGTGCGTTGTGTGACGCACCACCAAACTTACATCGGGGCGCCAGGACATCTTTGGCCTGGTCCCACATGCGTCCCACCGGGACGCCTACGAGTACAGCGTTGCAGGTGTGGTGGAGGAAACTTGCTGCTCTCCTCTAAAGATTCGATTGCTGTAAGTCTTGAATCACCCTTTCATGGCAGTGTAAGTGATAGGTGAGGCATGCCGTGCTCTCATAGTCTGTCGCTACCGTACCCACTGCTGGACCAGGTATGCAATTCGGTGCAAGTGCTAGCCAATTGAGCAACAGAGCTCATCTGCTACAACATGATGACAACGCCCCGATAAGGAATTATTGCCACAAACTTAACCCCATGACGTTAATAATCTTGGCTGTCTTCTACTATATACTGTACTGTAATAGCAATTAGTCTTCATGTATCTGTATTCTTCAAATGTCATTACCCAAAACACTCTGCAATATTAGAGCCAGTGCTTGTCTGTGATCTTAGACAGCAGCTTCGGGCATCACATGTTGCTTCGCGGCAGAATCTCATGACCATCAGAGGCGGTCGTCACTGCCCTGTCATCTCCCCATCTAATTCTGAGAATATTTAAAAGAATGCATTATCTCAGTTCGAAGCCGACGATAGTTGAATCTTTTTCCTCGAGCAGTTCTTGAACTAAATGTCAATCCTAGGCAATAAAGAAAAATAGCTCCACAGGATTGTGCCAATCGTTATTGTGAGCTAGACCTGTGCTCCTCACCGTGGATCTCGCTGCACCATCAGCTCAATGTATGATAAACTACACAGTACAGGAAGCATACCATTTCAAATGTGCAGTACAAGACAGCACATGGGGTTTCCGACATGACAGGATAGACGTCTCATAAAAAAAGCACGAGCAATGCGTCTAATTACTGTGCAGTTGTGGTTTCCTCGGAATGAGGCATATTGATATTTCGGATTGGCTCAAGTGCTACTGCTACGAACACAACGAAAGAGTACCCAGTACTCCCGAGTCCTTAACTGAACTCGGTCCCTTTTCTCTCTTAATCCTCTTCCCCTCTAACTCCCGTTAGTGGGCTTCTATATATACAGCTCCTAAACTAGCTCTAGACCTTCCGTGGTCATCCCACTAGTCTCTCAGCACTATCTCTAGACCTTTCGTGGTCCCACATGTATCAATGCACTGTCTTGCATTCCCAAGTACGCATGAATTGACACTCTCAATTCACAGTGACTCCACACATCTCGTGTGTCGGTTCTTATCAGGACAGCTTGTCTCGTTGTATCAGCTACAGCAGTACCGTATTTGACTTAGGTCCTCTTCGCGAATGAAATTGGACGATACATATTGTACCCCCTCCTTCTTTAGGTAGTATGCATAATTGCCTGGGCAACGAAGTAGTTCTTAGGCAGGAGTAACTTTATAGGGCATGAATAGAAAAATATGGTGGTTTGAATTTTGAGCAACCGCTCACAATCGGAAGAGAGCTTGGTCCAATCTATGAAAATCGATTAGCGTGCTTGCGTCGCAGGATATTGATTAAATGACGTGTACAATACTGTGCTCTGTAGACTACGTACATGTAGGCCTTTCATGATGCTGTGAAATATAATTGAGGGCATGACGAACAACGCAAGTTGCTCCTTTTCGCAAAACATGTTCTGAGAAATTCCATGATTTAGGCACGAACAGGACCTTCATGCATCATAGGCTATTAAAATAAATGCATTGCCCTCAACAGAAGTCACCCGTCCTTGTGTGTAGATAGACGGGGCGCTCCAATATGCCTCATACTATGAGGGAAGGGTTTTTTTGTGGAAAAACGCATTTATTGATTCTCTAATTTTGAACGGCAGTATGGATATCTTTTCTTTGACTTATTCGCTCTCGGCAATAACACGTTCACATAACGGCGGGATAGAAATTTTGAAGACATAAAAAGATGAAGAAGTCAAGAATCAAGAGAAAGTTTATGCTGTGAGATAAATGTGCAAGGAGTGTATTCCGTTTGAAGATATCAGAGGAAAAGGTGTCAAGGATGTACAAAAAAAAAAAAAAAAACGCGTCGCCTGACTTGCCAAAAAACGACAAGGAAAGGCAGCTGCACTCACTGGGATGTGGTCTGTCGTAAAGAACAACTCGGTTCTGGTGAGGAGAGAATCTTTTTGTTTCCGCCGAGGTAACAAAGTCCAGAAACAAGGGTGTTGAAGTTGAAAAGTGACCCCGTATGAGGTCAATTGAACTTGTTTGGGGTCATTCATCAACTAAGAACTACAGAGCAGGTGCGTTTATGCTTTATATTTTATTGCTCCATTTCTACAGCCCGGAAGCGTCCTTCTACCTAAAAGCGTGACGACCGCCGGTCGAATTCGATTGCTGCATATTGTATTACTGCCTCAAATTCTCGATGAATCACAAAGTAAGAATGCATAGGTTTGCTCATGTGCCGTACCTTTGAAGGAGGTATTGACCAACAAGTATAATGTACAGTAAGAACAAGGTTAGATGTTAGAAACAAAGTTAGTGAAGTTGTACGCATTCATTGTAGGTTGCTACAGGACTGTTCTCCTGTTTTCGGCACGACAGCACGGTATTCGGCGTTTGCATGTTTGCATTGCTGAATCATGCTTGACTTAGAACCTGTCAGCGGCAGCAAAACAGGTCCTAATACTAGAGATTTAGTCGAAGAGAGCACTTATATTCCGAGAGGACGACTCCTGCAGTGTCGCCGAAATACGACGCACACGGATGGCCCTCCAACTCCCATTCTTTTCGCACCGCAAAAAAGGGGAAATAACATGGTTAGTATCATCGCAAGCACATTGGAAAACTGACGCAAGGGGCTTGTACGTGTTCTTGTGTAGCTCAGCTGGGAGACAAGAATAAGAAAAATACTTCAGTTTCCAAAAGAGGTCGCATTGATTGGTGTTGCATTAGCTGATTGAAGTCGTTTCTCGTCCAGTGCCTATGAGTGGCAACCGCAAGGGAAACAGGCTAGAGATCATGAGTACTCCATTGGAGCAATGCTTTCTGTAACCACCTTGGAGGTATGTGAACAACAAGCATGGCTCGGGTGAAGAGGAAGATAGGGCAGTTTACCTGATTGCAATTGCCACAACTCTCTTCCACTTCGCTGTGCACCGAGCCTCGAATAAGAAGTGCCTCAAACGATGACGGCTTCATCGAGAAACACGCAACACCAATGAAATTTCGGCTCGCCTGAACGAGCACAAATATTTCAAACATATCCTTGTCGCAGCGCTGAAATGCGTCGTGTTCAACACCGCGGACATGGCGACTCTCTCCTCCCTTCGCTGAAAGGAATTGCTCTCATGCTACCACATGGGCACTCCCTCCGGAGTACTGGTCGAAAACTGACCGCTGTATTTTCCAGAGCATGCAGCAGATGGGCAACAAAATATTGCGAGGAAACCTTTCGAGTCATGACAACCTTCCGAGTCATGGCAAAGCAGTGTATCCCCCTCCTAAAATCTGGTGCCATGTCTCAAGCGGTATCGATACCATCACGAAAAGGTATCGAGGCGCGATCCGTCGGGTCTTGGTTTACTGTTATCTCATGGCTCTCAAGATTAATTTCTTCACGGGTCTCACAGCATTAATTGCAGACAATCCAACCCGTCTCAGTTCTCGGAACCCGGCTGGGGAATTGCGATCAAAAACACGCTGCAAGGAGTGCAACACGCCCATCATCCCGACGTTGGCAACCATCCTCTCTCTCTGAAAGCGCATCAAAGCGGCGCCCCTCTCGCCGCCGACGTCTCTGCCGGTGGCAGCTGCCGACGCCAGACAATCAGCTAGAGACTGAACATCTGCAAATCCCAAATTCACTCCTTGCCCTGCCAAGGGGTGGACGCTATGAGCCGCGTCTCCAACAAGCACCGTTCGCCTTTCCTCAATTACGTACCGAGGCGCGTGTCCCAATACCAATGGAAATCGCCCTCGATTGCCTACAACTCCAAGGCATTCAGGCGGATCTAATCCAGGCCCGGCAGAAAAGACTTCATCAGACAGTCCGAGGCGTGGTAAAGCAATCTGCAGCCCTTTGGCCATCATGGACCACAGGCGCACATCACTACCGCTCGCTTTCTTCACTTTTTCTCCGTCAATGTTGAGTAGAATGGTTTCTTCTTCTGCCATGTTTTCCTCATGAGAATTTAGCACAATGTTCAATTCATTCATAAACACTTCATCATCCGCATTGTAGAGTGCTTCAGCTTCTACTGTCGTGGTGGTCCAAATCACGTTTCCAACCGGGGCGGCAGTATCGTCTGTGTTTATGGGCAAGACGGCAACCGGTCCCGTAGATACGAAGCGCTGATACGCGGTGTTGATTGGATCACGCAGAGTAACGTTGGCGACAACTGCACTTTGGTCGTAGCCGTGTGCGAACCAGTCAGCACCAGCTAGAGTACGCACGCGCGATCGCGCCCCGTCACATGCGACGATAAGGCGACACTTAATCTTATCACCATTATCCAGCTCGACTATAGGCCACGGGAAATGCTCTTCTCCGCCCGTTGATGAATGGTCTATATCGACTGCCTGATCCTCTCGTTTTGACTCGACATCTTCCTCCTGCGAGTCCCCAAAATCAATGCCGTAGACCATACCCTGCACCATCTCAAGATCCCTTTGACTTGATGCTGAGTGCTCCAACATGCATCTATACATAGCATTCCTGAGAGTATCATTATCGACGACGTAGCCCAAGACATCCTCGCCCACGTCAGAGGCGTCGAACAGAAGGGTGCCTGCTGGCATGTCGGACAGCTTCTCAATGACAGGGGCACGGGAAAGTGGCGCCGGGTGGTCCCAAACAAACATTTTGTCGAAGGCAGCGACCCTTGACTGCGGGATTCGTGGCCATACGCCTATTTCATCCAAGAAAGCTTTGGATGAGGGATTGATTGTGGAGGTCCTTAGAGACAGAGATGGCCATTCACGAGTGCAAGGTGGGTCTGGATCTACAAGCATGACGCTTATGCCTTTTGCCAGAGGGTGTGAAGACAGGGCAGTGGCCAACGAGCTTCCCACAAGACCACCTCCAATGACGAGGATATCTACTTCTCTCATTTTCGCTGGCACCCTTCCTTACTGCACTAGGGAAAATGGGGTGGCAGCCAGTGATCTTGAAAGATGTCAAGGAAGTGAGGCGGAGAGATGCGACACATTAGCAGAGAGCTGCTCTGTGGCATATCGTACCACAACATTGACTTTCAACGGGGATAGTAAATGTTGGATAAAATAAGGAAAAACTGATTTTCGAAACTGCGATCATTTTGTCTTCAATTTTCAGAAAAATGTTGCTCTGATTCGGCAAAATCGGCTAAGCGAACAAAGCATCATAACACCGCTGGAATCCACACACGGTTTCCCGTCGTTCGATAAAGTTCAAGGCCATCACAGAAACCAACCCAGACCTGCTCGGATCTGCAACTAGTCACCATCACAGCAGTTCCAGTTAATCGCTCACCGCAGGGAACAACGCTTCCAAGGATCGTTCAACCGTGACATCTTCCTACCAAGTCATTTTAAAACAGAGAGGCGTGCATCTATTGCAAGTCGTCCACAGCAAACAGCTCGCCAAAAAAGCTACTGCGCCTCTTTCACCTATATGCTCATGGTATGCTCGCGTTCGCACAATATGCCCTCCATATGTCCAGCCTCGCGTTGATACTTCCGCGGCGCAGTGCGTTCCTCGGTACTGATTCCAGACCGGTCAAAAATCCCGAAAGGCATGCCAAGTTTCATAGAGGTTCCCTATTTCTTGAAGGTACAATCATCATTGGTCCATAGAAAAATTACTCTAATGCGCCATAATCCTCGTCGCGCAGCAGGCAGGTCCAGTCAACCTGCGCCATCTACAGTAGCAACAATTCAAACCAGTGCACATGACACGTCTCGTGTCTCCGTCCCGGGTATCGTCGAGCATTCCATCATGACTCTGGATTCTTGGGGCCCACGATGAGCAGTAGAGAGTCATGCCCGGCGTAGTCTCGAGCGCGCCAAGGTACCCTCAACTTCTCAAACATGTACGGATTCGGCGGAATGCATAAAGCGACATACTTCTTACTCTGCCCTGGCAGAGTGTACCGGGAAATACCCATCTTCTGCTTCCCACGTAGAGACCTCAATATTCCATTCAGAACATCCTTCGACCTCGGTATCGCAGACCCGCTCTTCTCCGCCCGTTTATCAACTTTTCCATCTTCCTTCGCCGCCTTCAGGATGACTACCACTGATTCTGGTTTCAACAGGTGCGCAAAGGCCTCGTCTTCCCATTTGCCGCGGTGCTCAATTTTGATGTCCTTCGGTAGTTCACTAATTGTCTTGCGCACCGCCTCTTCACTCTGATTCGAATTCAATACCAGAAAGCCGTCACAACGACTCGTCGGACCCTTCCTCACACTTCCCGACCATACCTGAGGAGGAATGGGATCAATCGTATTGGACATGGTATGGATGAGTTTTTGTGGTTCCCGCAAGGCGTGAAGGGACCGGCAAAAAGACTCGTAATTTTCAGAAGAGTCATCTTCAGGAGGACGCTCCAAAATGTTTGATCGCACTTTCTCCAGGCGTTTGACTGTGTCTGGCAGACTCGGATCAAGCGGCTCCCTCTTTGTCTTCAGTGGAAGTGTGTAGTCTCCTGGGGACGGTGTCATGGGTGATATTTGTATTCCTTGCCCCGGAGGTAGAGACCCCATTTCTTCCTGTGCTTTCCATTCTACTTCAGAGCTGGTCTTCAGTTTCTTTGGCGGAGAGTGACCAAGCTTCTCAATACCGTCAGACTCATATTCTGCATGGGACCTCTTCCCGCCGCGAGATATCACAGTGGCTTTTGAAGAGGAGTTCTTGAAGAGGAAGCCCTCCTTGCGGTTCACGAGGCCTATAACCTTGTCCATATCCGACAGCCGCGCACTGCCACAGCGGAGCAAACCACTTCGTGGGTCATGACGGTCAAAGGACAGCCCAGTTACTCCAGCGTTTTCGAAAGCATTTAGCAGTTCGCGGTCATCAGCAGCAGGTGGCAGTTCCGCAAGACGGACCTCCCATCCCGCCTCATCAGGACGATGTGAGCGAGACCTACCTTCGCCGTGAGAGTCACCAGCCCCGCGGGCATCATCAGCAACATCTCGTCGTTCCAGACCAGGGCCCGGATCACCACCGCGCTTCCGTTCATTACCCGGACTGCCACGGTCATCGCGACTTTCGCGGTCGCGGTAGCCCCCACCCCGTCCATTAGGATCGTCATATGCATCTCTCGACGGACGGCCTCGGCCACCCATTCCGTCAGAGTGGTGGCGGCTGGGAATGTATGATACGGTAGCATAGCGGGAATTGACAAGTCGACGACCATCAATATCTAAGAGACGGACTAGGAAACGAGAGTCTTCGACACCAAGAAGAAGTTGATCAGATTGCTTCGTCCTGACAAACAAGGTCCGGACACCGTAATGGCGCTGTATGTCGTCAAGAATATCTTCAACAGAAAAGCCATGCGAGAGTTTTTGGACACGCGCAATAGACGGAACTTCGAGCGGGAGAATGTTCACCTTCCGTCCGTTGATGCTGATTGATTGGAGTTGGACGGCGCGATTCTGCGATCCGCTCTCGCGGAAGACAACAACGCAGGCACCACATCGGCGACCAACAGGAATAATGTCCTGGATCTTGAGTGCATCTGGCAGGTCTTCTAAAGTGCGACCGAGGGTATCGATAACCTGTTGCCTATTCTCACAGAACGGTAAGTTTGTCAACACAGCGGTCACAGCAGGATCCAGCCCCTGATCACCACGTCTGTCACGTTGTTCGGCATGGCGGGAGGCTTCACGAATGTCACGATCATAGCGACCCCCGCGGCTGTCACCACGGCGAAAGTCGCGATCGTGATCTCTGTCGCGATCTCGGTCCGTATCTCGATCCCTCCCTTCTCGGCGATAATCCCTCTCCCTGTCTGCCCACGGGTCACCGCGGTAGTCACGCCTGCGGTCCATGTCTCGATCCCTGCCGCGATCAAAGTCGCGCTCACGGTAACGATCGTCCCGTGGAGGCGAAATCCTACGATCTCTTTCGTGGCCACGAGGAGGATACCCGCGGTCATAATCTGCTCTGCGGGAACGGTCGTAATCCCTATCCATAGGATCACGAATACGATCTCTGCTCGAACCTCCACGGTCGCGATCGTACCCACCCCTGGGGGAGCGACTTCTGCTCTTGCTTCGAGGTGGCGGGCCACCGTTGCCCATGCCATTGCGCTCTTTCGGCGGCGGCATTCTCTCCCTTGGATCCACGTCAAGCACCGGCGGCGCTCGGTCGTACGGTCCTCGATCATCTCTACGATCTCTATCATCCCTCCTGTCTCTGTCATCCCTGCGATCATATTCACCTCGCGGCGGCGGAGGCGGCGGCGGAGGCGGGCCACCGCGGTCGTAGTCATCTCTGGGACCGGGAATCCTCTCCCGCGGCAAGCGCGGGCCTCTGCCCTGCGCGGTGGCAATGCAAATCATCAAACCGGGGGCGGTACGATCCTTCGCCAGGGCACGAGTAAAGCTCTCCTCGTCTCCAAAATCAACAAACCACGTATTCACGTCTGGTGGGCCGCCCTTGACAGGTCTGCTTCTGACGCCAACAATGCTGCAGCCACGGAACAAATCATGCACATCATCGGATGTTGACCTCGGACGCAAGCCTCTGACGCACGCTGTGCGTTGGTCTTCAGGCATGTCGGAGACACGCAGTGTGCGCCCTAAAAACTCCCTTCCATCTAGGCCGAGGGCAATATCGACGGATCGAGAATCCATTAGCCAAACGAAGGCATTTCCGTTGACCCTATTATCCGGCGGGACTTTGACAAGACGAACTTTGTCAACCTCCGCGCCGGCGTCACGAAAGAGGTCAACAAGCTGTTCTTCGGTGGTATTGTACGAGAGGTTCGCAAGAAGTAATCGAGAAGAAGACGGAAGGGGAGTCGGGGAGCCACCCCCGCGGCCTGAACCGGACGGGGTGAAAGCGCCAGGCGAGCCCTGGGCCCCAGGACGCTCCAGACTGAGGCGGGGTTTCTTACCAGGTCGGCGATCATAGTCACGTTCCCAATCGCGTTCCTTGTGTCGGTCGCGGTCGCGGTCGCCACGGCCATGGTCGCGGTCGATGTCGCGTTCGTGGTCCCGGCCCCGGTCGCGGTCACGGTCATGGTCGTGGTCGCGGTCTCGGTCTCGGTCTCGGTCTCGGTCCCGGTCTCGTTCCCTATCGCGATGGGGTTCGACGTCCGGCCCACGTTCAATAAGGTCGTTTACCATGGCAGGGCTTGGATGAGGCTCTGTCGAGTCTGTGTGTGAAAGTAAACAAAGCGGGGGAAATATGGGAAGTTTGTGTGGAGGATGGAATCTGACATGGCAGAAGGAAGTGCGTTGCTTTATGCAAAGTATCTTCCGCAGGCCGTCGTCGGGTGCTGTTGACAGCCTCACATGAGGCAGCCCGCGTGGCGATTTTGGGGTCTTTCGGGGAGGTCCAAATCCCGATCAGCGGATCGCGATGCTGAAGGAGAGTCTCGTTTTTGGCCAATACAAAAATTGCACAATTGCACCAGCGCAAATACTTTCCAATCAGCAGCCCTGCTTTTCACATTTCCCCAATCCTTGGCAGTTCCCGAACAAGAACAACCTTTCTTATTCTCCCCATGTCTTCGTCCGCAGCTATTCCTTACGTAGTCAACCCTGCTTGCTCCTTTTAACACGACTAGCCGATTTGCACAGTCAGGAATCCATTTTCACATGGACCTGCAGAAAACGCTGGCCATCTTTCCAAAGGCACAACACTTTAAATATCATCGTCACCGTCCACCATTCCGCAGCCCTCTTCCTGTTCTTCATCCCCTTCTCCCTCATTGTCGTACGGCAGCGCCTCCACCGTTTCCTCTTCCCCAGCCTCAGCCTCATATTCCCCATATGCTTCACCGTCATACCCCTCCCCCCCTACCCCCTCCTCTCCAGCCTCTCCTGACTCTCCTGCCTCTCCTGCCTCTCCTGCCTCTCCTGCCTCTCCGTCCTCCTCCTCTTCTCCCTCGAACCACCACAAGGGATCACCCAACCCCTGGTTATCTCCCGTGACCTCATCATAAATAGCGCCTTCAATCGACATAGCGTTACCAACGCCCTCCTTCTCCCTCTCTGATGGCTTGATCTTCCTTCGATTCTCGTACTCACACCGCTCCACCCTTAGTACGCATTCATTCGTCACGTCCATGTACAAGGCTTGCGCTGCGTCCGCCCCACCATCTTCCTCTTGTTCCGGTTTCCATATCCAAACGCGCTCCTTTTCGTCAAAATTGCTCGGCTTCGGAAGTCCCGCGGTGTCTACGTGTATGCCCTCAAAAAATCCGACTTCCACTACGAGCCCCTTCTCGTGCGACCCGCTAATACGTCCGAATATCACCTCCCCCGAGAAGGGGCAAAATACGACCAGTCGAAATATGCACACGGTACTCGCCTCCCCGCTTTGTACTACGAGGCGGTCCTCCCCTAACTTCAGGAAATCCCATAGCGCTATACAAAGACCGTGCTCGGCGATCACACGGTCGCTGTATCGCTTGTTCACCATGTGCTCCAGTGCTTTCAAGCGAGACACGCCGAATAGATGCGCGGGCACTAATACCGTATCCTTGATTGTAACGAGTTTGAACATTCTGAATCTGTCTCACGCTCGGCAAATGAAGTCCCCAATACTCTTGCGCTATCGCATTTTTCTGCCTCACTTCCCGGTGGGGCCGCTGGCGAGATGTAGATGACCCTCTCAACTATCCGACATGCAGTAAGTTCGGCAAGAAAGTACGTCTTCGGCGATTAAGATGTGTTTTGGCAGCAGGCGATGTGCTGGTGCATCCAGGTGTTGGCAGAAACGGCGGTACAGCGTCGTGAGGCCGGGGGTCGCGAGTGATGTTCGGGATATTTTCGCTGGGCCCCATGTCAAAGAAGTAGTCTAAATTTTTCCTTATTTTTCGAACTCGTCAAAAAGTGTGGACGGGTCAAGAGCACTATATAAGAGATGTCCCCGCCGGCGATAGCCTCCTCAGAACAACCCTTTGTACATCACCACGTTCGCGCACCCCCTCATGATCCCAATGGAAGGCCTCAGGAACGATCGCTCAAAGCTTTTTCGTTTTAATCCCATCCCCTGATTCTCGTGTTGTCCCACTAACTCTCTCATTTATCGGTAAGTGTTCAGATCCGAGCAAATCGCGGGTATCTTGATCTCTCATCAGAAATCAGCAACTCTCCGCTCAGCCGTGAAGAACGTTTCCAAAACCAGTTCTGCTTCTTACGTACCTTTGGTCACTGAAGAGATATTGGAAAACCGTCAGAGCTTTCACTGGAGCTTTTGCCTTCCACATGTTCTTTCAATGACTAAATGCTAACCTGATGCCCTTAATTGCACATATCATCTTCTATTAGCGTCTGCAGGGCAATTCTCCTCTATATTTCCAACTCCGCGATTTGGTGTAGGGTACAATTGAATCCGCTTAGGATTGCGTACGTAAGAAACTGTCAAAAGTAAGTCCGCATAATGTCGCCTGATCCCGAGTTTACAGCATGGTTCGGTGATGTTTATCATTTTACATGATACCTCTTGTTTGACGGGCTCAGGCCCAATGAACGAAACTTTAACGCTTCAAAACATATCCTTGAGAGCAATGCAACTCGCGAATTCATCTGCGCATCGTCCACCATTTGAACAATTTCTAATCCGTTTACCCCAGATACCTTCTCGTCTCTTTGCCTTGTATCTCAATCAGAAAGTCGTCCGGCACATACTGCAACCAGCATTGCTTGTTGTGGCGACGATATAGATAACCTGTACGCGGATAGTAATCACGGTTCAATAAACTCGGCACCTCACACTACAGACAGAAATTTGGTTTACTTTTTGTACACCTCTCCGCTTCCATAGCTGAACCTTCAAGTGGCTTTTCAGACTAGACTTTACTCTTTCTTCTCTTCTTCTCGCGGTGCTGCCTGCCCATTATCAGCCTTGGACATCTCAATCGCTCTTCGCAAAATTTCTGCGTCCTCGTCATCATCGTCGACATCCATGCGCTCACCGCCTGTCCCGGTGCCATAAAGATCGTCGTCGTTGTCATCATAGTTCGTCCCCGCTACTGCCCCAGAAGCGGCAGAGTCACCACTGGGCGCCGGCTGGTCCCCCGATTCTCCCCCTTCTCCAGGAGCGTTATTATTTGCATTCAAGTCCCTCCCCGCCGCTTGCATCGCTTCCTCCATAGACAAACGAAGTGCCAACGCAAGCTCAGGGTCATCTTCTAGATTCGCACCACCCACCCCCGAATCGCCTCCACCCGCGTTGCCATCTCGCTCCCTGTAAATGTCAGACTGCATTAAAGCATCAGTCAGGTTCTGGCCTGGAGCGACATGAAGGACCCGGGAGGAATCATTAGAATTAACGGCGTTGATGAAAGCATCAACCTTTGCCTGGTTTTCACCTTCCAAGCCAACATTGACAACATCCACTGATACGCTGTTCTTCTTCAGATTCTTGCCCAGCTTGACCAGGACCTCCGTCTCGACCATAATGGGGCTGCTCACGAAAGCAACTATTCGCTGGCGCTGATGCGTATTTTGTCGGTGTTTGAGAGCCAATTGCGCTTTCTGAATGCCGGCAACAAAGTCGGCTAACCCATCGAAGTTGACATCGTGGAGGCACGTGAAGACGCGGCCTGGATCTCGAGTTGATGTGACCAAAATCGTGGCGCTACGGCCCGCTAGCGTCATGAGACCAACAGAGCTCTCAGCATTTGAATTCACGATCGCTGAACAGAGCACATTAACAGATTCTATTTGCGCCGTCTGTCCGGGACGAAGAAACAAAGGCATTACATTCCCGATAAAGAGTGCCATCCAGAGAACAAAACGTTAGATCCAGTGTGAATACGCAAATCCTTTAGTTCATGCCTTGTCCAGTAAGTAAAGCCCATTAACAGTGTAACTTACGAAGCGATTTGGTGAGAAGTCTCCATTGCGACTGAACTCCGAGTTGTCGACGCAAATGATTGCCGATTCAAGCGGCATAGTTCAGAAACGATGACAGAGATCGCAAGAAGAGACACGGCGTAGTCCTTCTATGTAAAGACGGTTGAATGCGATCTGAGAACGTCGAAGACAAGCCACGATTTGGTCCGCAAGTGAAAAACTGCGTTGACAAGATGCAGATGAGAAAGACACCTTCCAACACTGCACACGGAAAGGAGAGCTTTGGTATGATCAATTTGATTTAATATATTTCTGGCCCCGTGGACACGTTGACACGCGTACGATCCGCCGTAAAAACTGTCATTGTTGCCTTTCTGTACAGTACAACCTGTCCTGGACCGCAATGCAACACATTTATACACTCAACACATACCGTAAAATTTACCAGGGTACCGGACATCAATCGGTGTGCTATAGATTTGCAGCACTTTTGTGCCGACCTCTTGAGGGCCGTTCCTAACGACGAGCACGGTGTGCTAGCACGCAAGCACCCTGACATTTGGCATGAATGGATTGGTTGAACGGGAGTAAAAGCATTTCCAATAATTTTTCAACCAATACATTCATGCCAAGTTTCAGGGTGCTTGCGTGCTAGCACACCGTGCTCGTCGTTAGGAACGGCCCTGAGGCGTCGGGCACTACTCGTCCTTATACGAGAAGCTGCAAAACAAGTTATTTGACTACGCTTGCGCAAACGTGAAAGCAAGTACTGTACTCACGAGAGGGCGTTTTATCGTCACTAATGCCGTCAATACCGTCGTTTAACATGCAAATTGGGCGAAACACAGCCGCTAGCGTCACTGGGCCGCTGATTTCTCGCACTTCATAGCCGCATCTGCGCAATTCCGTAGAAGCATAGCTATCGTCATTGGCCCCACTCCTCCTGGCACTGGCGTTACCAAGCTAGCCTTTTTGCGACAACCTTCGAAATCGACGTCGCCCACGAGTCGGTACCCCGACTTTCGGGTCGAGTCAGGTTTTGAATTCATGCCAACATCAATCACGACGCACCCTGGTTTCAACCAATCTGCTTTAACCATTTCCGTCCGCCCCACAGCCGCAACAACAATATCCGCTCTTCTCACAACACTCGCGAGGTCAACTGTCCGGGAATGAGTGATAGTGACTGTAGCATTCTCATGCATGAGTAGCAAACTCACAGGAAGTCCAACAATGTTGCTTCGCCCTACGACCACTGCTTCCTTTCCCGAAATCTCTACTCCGCTTCTCTTCAACAACTCAATACACCCGCGTGGTGTGCACGGAGCGAAAAGAGGCTCCCTGCCCCTCATCGCCAGTTTTCCAATGTTCAAAGGATGGAATCCATCCACGTCCTTCTCGATTGAGATCTCAGAGAGCACGTTTTCTTCATTAATGCCATCCGGTAACGGCAGTTGCACCAAAATCCCGTGGACGCAGGCGTCCTCGTTGAGAGCCCGTACCACCGCAATGATGTCGCCTTCCGTCGCATCGGCAGGTAGGGCACGATGAATTGACTCCATGCCACATTCACTGCATGCCTTTATCTTCATGCGCACATACGTTGCAGAATCTTTTCTTTCGCCAACTAGAACGGTTGCCAGGCCTGGAATCACTGACGAAAGGCTACTGACATCATTCCGTATCTCCGCTCTTATCTCTGCGGCAATTGCCTTTCCATCTATTATCCCACCAAGGCCATCGTTCTCTTCTTGACTAGACATGTGAAAATTGGCTTCCTCGCCAGTACAAGCGGTTGCAAAACTATTCCTGATTCCTGTGCGCGCGTTAAAAAGCTGAGAATGTGCCAAGCTCCTACTACCCAAGGGTAGTCTTGGATCTGCGGGCTTTTCTTGTGTTCAACGAACTACGAGGTGTGACCTCGCAAGAGTGCTGTGAACAGCACTCTTGCTCCAATGAAAAGTAAACAACCAATCAGCATTAAGAGTTTCTGAAATGTCGTTGAGCATGCCTCTGCAGGGAATTCCAGAGCGCATCAGGTTGCTGCAGGAGGGGGCCAGAGCAAGTGGCATCGGTTAACGCTTTCATGATCGAAACCTGCGGTTAAATCTTAGATTTGCTCAAGGTCCGTCCAGAACAATGAATTCTGCATCCTTTATCGATCCAGCACGGGTTTGGATGACTATAGCCACGACAAAAAATCAAAAGTATCTACCCGGTAGCCTGCAAGTTGAACAAAGCATGTGCAACCCCCAAGCCGTTTTGGAGTCAGAGCAAAGGAAATGATATCAGTCATAGACGCCAGCACAGCTTAGCAACAGCAGAAAGACATATTACTTCTCGAGGCACTGGTTCCTTACGCAATCCTACTGATATGAATACATTGTTGCGGTGTATGACTGTGTGATCGGAGAAGGGCTAGATGAAACGGATAAGATGTAGTCACTATGAAATATGGCGTTACATTTACATACATGGTCAACGAAAGAAAAAACTATCCACCGATTACCACCGCGAGAGTGGCAAACAAAATGTTGCTCATCTTCCCATCGCATTTAGGGGAATACTGTGCAGCACGTCACGTTTTCGTCTCACTTCATCATGCTGTGCATCTTTCTTCATGGCTGCCTCCCTCACACGCCGAATATCTCGGTCCTTAATAATGTCTCTGAGTTTCCGGCTTTCTTCCACCATAGCCTCTCGCTCCGACTGTAGTCGCTGGACAACTTGTTCACGCTCCTTCTGATCAACAAGCAATGCTGAATATTTTGATTCTAGTTCCAAAATTCGCTCACCATTCTTGAATAGGTCTGGCAACCTACCTTCTTCTAGTATTCTCTGTTGCAGTTCAAGCCGTCTATTCAGCTCGCCTATCATCATTTCCCGACGATGACACCGCTGTTCGAGCGCTGCGATCCTGCCCTCTCCTCGCCCCAGTTTAGCTAAAGTGTCTTCCATGGCATATATTTTTCTGTCTCGAGACCGTATTGTCTCCGATAGTTTCAAGATCTCTCTCGTTCTAGTCTTGGTTTCTAGGCTGAGTTTCTCGACCTCGTTATGCAACGATCGATTTTCCTTCCTCATAACTGTTAACTGCTCGTGCTCTTCAGCGCTCTTGATAGCTGATATCCGAGAGGTTCTCCCTTCCATCTCTGCTACTGTCTGTTGAAGGCTATGAAGTTGCCCCAACATTGTTTCACATTCTGGACACTTTGCATCTCGCAGCTCTTCGTTCAAACGATTTGCGTCTGTCAGTTGATCCATTAAATCGCGCTTTTTGCTAGAAGCCTCAGCAAGAACGATGTTGGAAGATTCTTGTGCGCCCTTATACTCGTCAATGCTTTCCTCAAGAGTTTTGATTGTCTCGATTTGCTCGTTGACGACCTTGTCCTTATTTTGTATGACTTGTTGCAAGTTCTCATTGACTAAGCCCTGTTCAAGCAAGGATGATTCCATTTTGCCTTTAGTCTTTCCAATTTCCGACAGTTGAATTTTGGCCTGCTCGTGCTCCAAAACTGCTTTTGCTCGATCTTTCTTAGCATCGTCTGCAACTTTCATTAGCTCTGAAAGCTCTGACCTCATTTCTTCAATCTCAAGATGGGCTTTTCCCAGTTCCTCAGTAAGCTCGCTAAGTTCAGAAGTCACGGAAGCTCTGCCGTCCTGCAATTTCTGCCGTTCTTGTTCTAACTCCCTACATAACTCCTGCGAGATGGCAAGTTTTCCAGATAGTTCCGAGTATTTTTCCAGTGCCACTTGACGCTCCTTGACTAGGTTATCGCGAGCAAGCGTGATCTCGTCAAGTTCGGTTTTCAATCTGTCCATGTTCTTTCTTGTTGCGTTCAAGTCCTCCTCCTTTTCTCCATTGCTTCTAGAAAGTGTTGAGATCTCGCACCTCAAACCCTCCACACACTTTTCGAGACTTTTCTTCTCACCCTCAAGTTTCTTATCTGCTCTAACCTGGCCCTTTGTCACGTGATTGCGATGCTTGGTGACTTCTCCCGTCAGCACTTTGTTCTGACGCTGCATGTTCTTTAACTCTCTTTCGACGGCGGCTTTTTCAGAGGAGCTCTGTGATGCCGACTGACGAACAGTCTTGTATTTTCTGTCAAGATCAGCAAGCTTCCCCTCAAGGAATTTGACGTCTTTTAGAATGGGTCCAATTCCTCGCTTTTCTCTCTTCACAATATCAGCGTGTTCTTTTCGTAACGAAGAAATATCGCACTGAAGATCACTATTCTTCTTCTTGACATTTCGAAGAACATCTAAATTTGCCTTGGCTTCCTTCAGTTCTCCGGAGACGAGAGATGTTGTTACTACTTCAGTTACAACTTCCCCGACTAGGGATGACGCAACTTGTCGCGCAAGCATTGAGTTAACTTCGGCACATTCGTTTTCAGCCGAAGCACGTGCTCGTTCTGCTTCTTCACTAGTAGCAAGCAGCACCTCAACTTCAGCAATCATCGCCTGTCTTTCATAGTTGATCTCGGCCAGAGCCTGTCGTTTTTCTCTCTCAGCTGCAAAGGTTCTCCTCCGAAGCTCCGCTACCTCATTTTCGACATTTTTGTCAACGACCTTCGAATTGCTGTCGTTGCTGTGGTTTTTGCAACAAAGATTCAGCGCGTCGATCGAATTTGTCGGTCTCATTGTGCCATGGTACCCAAGACTTCGTTCCTTTACATCAAGCGTGATATCTTGCTCTCGCAAAGCTTTTATCAAGATATTAAACTTTTTTTCAAAGGTTAGTCGACACGCCTTTCTTTGCTGATTGGACAGTTCATCAGTTAACGATACCCGCACTCCCTTCGAGGCATCAGGACGTCTGCCTGCTTTCAGTCGCTGGCACTCTGCACTGAGACGAGCTATCTCCTTCTCTGCTCTTCTAAGTTTTGCTCTATCGTCCAAGAACTCATTGGTCTTCGCTTGGTTAGTCACTTTTTTCGCGCGGCTAGCGAATTTCAGGGTGCTCAGAGTCTCTTCCATGTGCAAAATTGCCGGCGTTACAGCGCACACAATTGCTGTCCGAGCATTGCCACCGAGCGCAGGTTGCAATAATCGCGTCAGTTTTGAGTCTCGAAACGGAATATGAGCGTAAGATCGCGCTTCCCCCGAACTGAGCTTGTTGATCACGGTTCCGAGTGTGAGAAGGCTTTTGTTAATATGTCCCCCCTCGACAAGACGCATACCTTGCGCCTTTGTGAAGGATGCGCGCTCCGAACCCGCTAAGTCAACCAGGGAAAGTGTACTCGCCCTCACAGCCACCCCCTCGTCCGTGGCGGAGTCCTCGCCCTCGGCTTCGGCAACACTCATTTCCCTGGATTCAATCTTGAGGGAAAAGATGGTGTGCGAGCGTGAGGAGCGATCGTTCATGTTTGTTTCTCCTACTGCTCGCACTTTCTCACCGCCTGCGATTATGTCCATCACTTGACCGACAGAGGTGACGACTTCCTCCCTCGAGTCAACAAAAACGCGTTTGTTGATCACGTCCTCATGAATCTTAAGATTGTCGTTGTCCGGCGCAAGCAGGTCTCGAATGACCTCGTTATAAATCTCGATGTAACTAGCACGAAGTAGAAATTGACGATTCGGGCAAGCAGAAATAATGCGAAAAGCCTCCGCAATGGACCGCCGCGTAATACCTGGGTCACTCTCCGTCCCAAGCATCGTATACGTCTTACCAGCCGCGGTTTGCCCATACGCGAAGATGACTCCGTTGATGCCATCGGCGGCAGATGTCACAACCGGTTTGGCCAGCTCGGTGAAAATCTCTTCGTTCGCTACCCCTTGTTGGAAGACATGGTCAAAACTGAACGAGTTGGCGGCTATAGGTTTCGAGTTGACGCATTGGGTGATGCAGGTTTGGTCAATGGCCCACGATACCTTGGAACCCGATATAGAAGCCAGCTCGCGAGCGTTTAGTGGCCGAACGCGCACTGATACCTTGACGGCGTCAGCCGGTGAAGACGGGGCAAAATCTTGTTGTAAGAGATCCATTCCGCCAGAGTGAATTGGGTTTTAACACAGCGGGTGAAACAAGCCGCAAGCGGTTGCTGACGTTGCGCAATATTCGAGACCGCAAGATAGCGAATCCAAAGGTGTGAGCTTCTCGACGTGTACGTTATGGATAGATAGATGAGTTGCTTGTGCTTGCAAGTACAAAAAGGAGGCTCGCAGTTCCCGACTCAATCTGCAGGCGCTTCGGTGCACCCACTAAACAAATGGAGCGCAAGAAATTGTGCGATGCCGCTTCAGCATCCACGAAAGCTCGGAAGCTACGCGTCGTAGGAGCAATGTAAAGGAACCGTATGCCATCGCTAGAACCACACTCTCAGACAGATGGAGAGAAGGGCCTGTTCATCGCGGGAAATAAGACATTCAAATATTCGAATTGAAATTTTTTTTGGCAACCTGTGCTTATGATATGGTTCCGAGCACTGCTGCATGATCTCCCGCTTCCAACACACGTGTACACTTCACTTCAAATTAACCCCGTGAACACTCTTGGCTGCAGGACACTTGTCCAGGTTACTAAGATAGGATATCATTGTTCACTTGTTCCCCTGCTACAATACTGAATGCTCCTTCACGGTGATAGGAAGCCCCAACATCCGAGGAAGAGAGCGTTGCCCGTCGACCGAGAAATGAAATGCGAGATAAGTTTCGCGATCACACGACGAGAGGGATGGATTTAATCCAAAAATGACAAGCTCAGCCACTTTCAGGAGTAGCTTTACAGATTTTGAGAAACAGTTGCACGCCTTCTTACTTTCCCACCATCAAAGTGGCTGCACTCTCATTGAAATATATTTGGGACACCTGGCATCAATCATGTTTTTGGTCAGCGAGCAAGACATGACGAGAAGCGTCCTTGACTGGATGCTTCCACATATACTGTACGACGTACCCTCGCAGAGGCCAGTGGAAAACGTAAACGGAGTGTCCCTCACATTTATTGTACTCAAACCTACCCAACGAATGGACTTTAGAGGTCTACGGCTACGTTCAGTGATTGATATTTTCGTCTACTGCACATGAGATTCAAAGGGTCCTTGGCTACCCCCATAGCCCCCTAATTTGGCCCCCCCCCCCCCCCCCCTTTTGTCCCCTATTCCTTCAAAAGCTTCTATTTCCCCTGCCCCCCTTCTACAAGTGACCCCAACCCCACTATTTTAAAGG